CTAGAAACAGACCAAGGCACCCTCATTTGTCTTGTGCTGTTTCAGTCTGTTCCTCTTGCCACAATCTTACTGGATGCTCATAGCAGCTTGGGGAGGAATATGCCAAGCAGTGTAACCTCCACTTCTGAGATGAAGAAATGAGAATCTAGTCTCATGAAGTGACTGGTGGTGACGTCCAGGCCAAAACCGGTCTTTTGTCTCTGGGACTTTTCTGTTTGTAGATACATGGTGATTTATGTATTATAGCAACCTTCGTAAGGTCTGAAGTTCCTTTTATGCTTGTCCTCTGGTCTTTGTTATGGCTGTGTAGCTCCAGTCCTTTTTGAGAATAAATATAATAATATATGTAATAAATATAATAAAAGTAGGGTAATCTCTTGGATTTGGGGTTTGATAATCCCCAGACATTTTTGGGAAACTCCTTTGCATAGAGCCATAAAGACCCATAGAAGGTAAGGCCAGCTCTGTCCAAGCTGAACCCATTGCCCCACTGTTGACTAGCTCTTCCCATTGTCCCACTCTTGACTAGCCCTTCCCATTGCCCCACTCTTGACTAGTCCTTCCCATTGCCCTTCTCTTGACTAGCCATTCCCATTTACATTTCTTAGTGGAAAACTCATTTTGGATGGGGGGTGTGTGTTCAATTCTGTTTTCAGAAATGCTTGGCTCGGTTCTTTTAGGGGTTAAATAAACATTTCTCAGCTGAGAGTGGCCATCAGAATCCCTAGGGATGGTTGAATAGATAAGTGTACATTTAAGTTATGAAGGCCAGCTTAATCCCATGCTCTCCCATACCTACAGAGGAGGATTTGGCCACGTGATTGTTTTCTTTTCCTGAGCAGGGATTTCACTGTATTTCTGCTAATAGCAACAGCACTTCAGGAATAGACAGTATGTGGCCAGTAAGCAAAGTCAGCCTATCCTTTACTTTTGTGTGGATGATGGGTCACGTGTGGTATTTACAGAATAATTTTTTTGCAACTGACAAGTGATAAAGACATGTCACTGGATCTCTGGGAAGCAGAGTGCCAGCCTTCCTTTGCAGCACAGGCAAAGAATATTGGTTCTGCTAATTTGACTCCCCTCCCCTCAAAAAGTTGTATTTTTAATTTTGTGAAAACTTGTTTTCTTACCTGATATTTAAGTACCAATGTAACAATGATTTTTGCCTCTTGACAGTCAAAGCCTAACCTGTTTATTGTCTTGACCTTTACAGAATAGCTGGCAGCATATCATTGTCTGCTTTAGTGAGAAAATTTGCTTTTTGTCATCAGTCCACTTTTTCTTTTATGATTTCTATGAACCTTGTAAGGAGTTTTGTTGTAAATGTGATATATTTTCAGTGTTACCTTCAAATCTACATATAGAGTAAAGGGGGGTTGTCTCATCCCCTGGGTTAGCACTCAACAGTCTGTTATGTATCTTTGCCCACGCCTTGTCTTTAACTAGCTATGAAACCTCATTTCACCTTTGTAAGCCTCACATTTTTCCAACTGTACAACAGTGATAGCAACTGCTCTTGTCAAGCAGGTTTTTATGTAGATGGAGACAGTTCTTGTGAAATGCTTTGGACATTGTCTGGTGTGCAGTTTATGCTTAATGATTTGCAACTCACGTTAAGTTCTCTTCTTTTAATTTGTATATACAAATCAAATTGTTTGCCATTTTAAAGAGAGAGGATCGCTGCCCCCCTCCCCACTCACACGCACAGTTCCACAGGTAGTTCTGACCCATGCTTATTTGAGAACAGCAAAGTGCCTGCTGGAGAGTAAGTGCTTAGTTAGGGGGTACTCATCAGGGGGCAGACATTGCCTTCCATCTTGGGCTTTTCTACAGTGAATCTGTAGGCTGGTATAAAATGCATACAAAGTAAATTTCTATTTCTCTTTTCCAGGTCTACAACTCAAACAAAGACAGCCAGAATGAAGGAAGTAAGTATGATGTATGGGTCATTTTCTGTATTCAGAGTAGGGCACAGGAGGGGAGGCTTTGAGACTTGCCACGTCAGGAGGTGCCCTGGGCATGTTAGGTTAGCCTCACTTCAGAGCATTATTTCCTGAGCAAGATTAGCAAGACTGTAGTGAACTCTTGCAGTTAAATAACCCTTAGTGCTTTCCATGGTACTCTTATATGCAAGCACATGATCTCACATGGCCATAGGTCTTATTAAGATGGTAGCCCCAGTCACCACTTATAAGTTGCTCAATACTCAGCAAACCAAGAGTCCAGTGTTGTCAGGAAGCCTCTGGCACTGTCTGCCAGCCCTGAAATGGCAATAGCAAAGGTGGAGAGGGTGGCTTGCTAATTGTGTTTCATTTGTGGCTCTTTGAGAGGGAAGACTGGAGAGGGGAAGAGATGCTGTTCTTTGGCGGAAGGGCCCTGGGCAGCCTCTGTGAAAGCAGCATTTTCCCTGCTGCAGGCCGGCACCATACTCCCTCACCTCTTCCAAGGGCACCTGTAACTGCAAAGGCAATGGGATTAAAAGGAAACCCCTGCTGGGCAAGTGCTTCAACCTGATTATCTCCTTGGTGCATAAGACATAAAGCAAATTCCTTCCCGGTGCCACAGGAGTACAAAGGAAACCCTGACTCTCTGGCCTCAGCTTTGGTCTGGAAAACCTACTTGAGGAAAAATTGAGAGGTGGCCCTGCCATGCACTGCAGTAGTGTAGGAGATCAGGGGAGCAGAGCAGTACCTCTCTGGGGAGACAGAAGGGTGAGCCCTTCACTTTTATTGATTGAAAGCCATTAGCCATCTTGAAACAGATTCTTCTCTGTTTTTTTTTTCTCCCTTCTTTCTGAAATAAAGACTTTGCCAAAAGAGTAAAACAACAAGCAGCAACCAAAGAACAGGGTCTTTAGCCCAGCCTGGTCTCAAACACTCAGCCATAGATGAACTTCTGACCCTTCTGCCTCCCTCCTGAATGCTGAGATAACAGGTGAACACAGTGCACTTATTTATGCAGTGTTAGGGTTTGAACCCAGTACTCCATAGATGAGAAACAAGCACACTGCCAACTGAGCTCTATCTTATTCCCTTGCAAAAAGATACAAATAAAATATTATGTGACTTGTAATGGCCACAGTTAACAAAACTTTTATGACAGGAAAACCGTTTTTGTTTGTTTGTTTTTGCTTTGCTTTTTCTTCAAAAATTGAATAAAGGAAAAATTTCAAGTAAATATTCAAGGTAACAAAGTAGTGTTCCCCTCCCCCAGTTTAAGTAGATTGTTTAAAGCATCAGAGGTTAACTAGGGAGCAAAACTCACAGTGAAGAAGAATGGAAGGATGTAGTGCAATGTATTTATGGAGCAGATGAAGGCACAGGCTGGCAGGCAGACCAGCTCCAGGGATGCAGGAGCCAACAGGAAAGGGCTTTCTGGATGCTGTTCATAGGATATAAGTCAGTTTGACTGGTTTGCAAGCATTTTAGGCAAGTTGCAGTAAGACTAGGCACCTCCTCTCCTATTAAGGCTGGATGAGGCAACCCAGTATGAAGAGTAGAGTCCCAAAAGCAGGGAACAGAGTTAGAGGCAGCCCATGTTCCCACTGTTAGGAGTACCACAAGAAGACCAAGCGGTGCAATTGTAACATATGTGCAGAGGGCCTATGTCAGACTAGAGTTATAGACAGTTGTGAGCCACCATGTATGTGCTGGGAATCGAACCCAGGTGTTCTGGAAGAGCAGCTAGTGCTCTTAACTGCCGAGCCATCTCTCCAGCACCCTGAAATGCTTCATTTAGGGTAGATTTGGCCATGTTGATTGGTGCTTTCAAGCAGAGTGCTGCAGCGCTGGTATAGATTAGCATGTTGGCCCTTGATCCCTGGAGAGAGATGGCTGGGCCCTTTATGCTTTCGTTATCTTTCCTGTAGAAATGGAGATATTAATATACCTGCCTCATAAGCTCAGTGTGAGGATTAATGTTGAGCTCAGTGTCTGACATGTTAATACCTAATCACTCTTGTTTTTAGTTCTTCCTATCACCTGGCCAAATGTGTCACTGAAAAGAAAAATCTTTTACTGAGCATGGCGGTGTATGTACTTCATGAAGTAGGAGGATGGAGAGTTCTTGGCCAGCCTGGGCAACATAGTGACACATGGTCAAAAAAACAAATAGAACAAAAAACAAACAGAACAAGGAAAAGCCCAGTGGAAAGAAAAACACCGGATTGACAGAACTGCTGTTGCAGGGAGCAATAAGGAAAGTGAGGGAGGTAGCCATTTTATCAGTCTTGAAGTCCTCTGGGGTAGGTAGTTCATTTAATTTTAGTAGCTGTACTTCCCAATATTAGTGCCACAGGAACTTTCTAAATTGCTGTTTATAATACTTAGTGTGATATGAATGCACAAGCAGGATAAATTTGTTGATTTTGTAAATGCCATTATTTAACACAGAGATTATGCTTCTCAGTAAAGGGACACAGAGTAAATACTTTCCTTTTGTGGAATTGCTGAGTTCCTCTCTTGCATTAGTGTGAAAGCAGCCACAGACACTATGGGAATGAATGGACAAGTGTTGTCTAGTAACACTTTATTTTCAGAACATGCCATGGTGACATTTACCCATGGACTGTAGTTTATTCACTCTTCACTTACTACACAGTACATTTTTAAAGCTTGTCTGTTAGACTGGCATGGGATTTTGGCAGGGGGAATATAGTAAGTGGCATACAAATGACCACCACCATTTACAGATTTGGCGTCCTATACATCTAGGTTTTACTGAGCAAAAGGAATTCAAGAATATGTAGTTGAGAAGTAGCAGAACCAGTAACCATGGTCCTGGGCTCCTGCTGCTCCTGACATGTGGGCTCCTTGCTCTGTTTCTCTATCTAGTCATATGCAGCTTATTCTGTGAGAATGGAAGAAATTCTATCAGCTGTCTCCAGCATCTAACCTATCAGAGTCTTGGCTGCTGTGGGGTCACAGCATGTTCATTCGCCATGAATATCCAAATTAGAATCACCAATGCTTCCTCAAATGCCTGTGCCAGGTGCTGGGTGTGCCAGGGCTACATGCTTAGATGGATCTAACTTCTCAGGGCCAGGCCATTAATGTGCTACACTGGAATTGCACAGATGTCCTGGAACAAGAAGAACCACTCTCTGTTGTTCCTCTGGTCTATGCTCTCACTCTTTAGGCTGTCAATCAAATCAGAATCCTTCATGGTGCTTTGTCAAAGCTTGTCTTGATTTATGAGACAAGACTGAAGGTTAGGAAAAGAGATAAGCAGGGATGTATCTCTCTGTTTGCCAGGTTTTGTCCCTCTGATTCTCAATTCTCTTCATCTCTGTGCCTTGGATCCCCTTGATCTACCAGACAGAAAAGAGATTTATTCTTGAAGATCTCTGTGGAAACCATAGTGGTTAGCATGGCCACTGTTTTTAAAAAGCATCTGTACCCTTCAATCTTTATTATCAAAGGTCCACATTCTCATGAAAATAGTAAAGGACAGGAAAGGGGATTCCCCCTCCCCCTTGCTTCCAGTCACCTTCGACCTTTTGCTGTTAGAACACCCACAGTAGAGAGGCAGGAGGAGGCAACCATTGGTAACAAGGATCCCTTTGGGATCAGAGCCATCCAAAGGCTGCCAGGTCTCCCCTGTTGGGTGGCTTATAAATAGAACATTTCCCCCTTTAAACCTGAGAAGGGTGGAAGCATTAATGGGCACTATGCCTGGCCTCCTGTGCACTGGTCCACGAGGCAATCAGCTGAGTGCACTTTCCCCTCCGGCTTTCCATCCGGCTTGCCAGGGATGGCCTGAGGCAGACTTCTCCATGCTGCCTGTTCTGTCAGTGCCCTCTTGGCCTTTGTTCTCCCTCCCAGTCCCTGCAGGTTTCTGTGGCCATCCCTTTTGTCTTCTGAGGCTCAGTTTGAGTCAGGCAAGGGACTGTGCAGGTACTGGCTATCTGCATTTTATCTTTTATTAGGAACCCTGCTTATGACATGGCTGCTGTGGCTTCATTGAGCTAGAATTCTATTTAGTAAAGCAGTGGCATCTTAACTCTAGAGTGACTTAGCTATGGGTAGAGTCTAGAGAGAGGGGGAAATACTTCTCAGATACCTTACGTTCTCAGCTGTTGTGTGTGATGAGACCATCTTCCAGGACAGTATTGGCAGTGTGACTCCTTGAACTTGCCAACAGGGCTTTTTGAACTTGCCCAGGCAGTCAGAAGCCTTTTTTGCTTATCCTGGGAGACAGTTCAGAAATTCATTCTTAGCTTTAGATTGACAGAGGCAGCCAGCATGCCACTTCGCCTTTCCCTTGTGATACAGGCTCTGTACTGACACC